GGAGAAAAGAAAAGAGGATTGGAGAAAAGGGGTTCTGGAAGGGAATTGGGGTGTTCGGGGCTGTTTTAAGAATTGAAAATGGGAGCATTGGTATAGAAAACCAGCCCCATGGCAAATCTACTAAGATTGCTACTTATGATTTTCTTTTTTTGAAATAGTAAAGGATGGAGAAGAAAATAGAAATGAGGTACAATAGAAAATCTTTCCATCCCCGCTTCCCACAACTACCCAAGTTCTCCTTGGGAATTTTGGATATCTATTCCTAAACCTATTTCTCAAATCTAAATCTAACCCTTCTTAATATTCTCATGTATGGTGTTAAAAGTGGCTTTAGGCTTCTATTGCTCTCCTTTTCCTCATATATGATGCTAACAGGAGACAGAAATCAGAACATCAGAACTGCATTCTGGCTGCTGTAGGCATCATTTTTATTATATATATATATAAGAAAGTTTCAAACAAACAATTTCGGAGTCGCCTGAGGGAGAACTTTATGCAGCCTTAATAAAGCCATGGACAGCAGTTACCTTAGGTAATCCCCGAATTATTTAGTTGCGGGGAGAGTGCACATCAGAAAGTGCATGGGGCTCTGACTGGGTTAATGGCCTGGGTTCCCCATTACGTCCTTGTTTCAACTTGCAGTGCCAGGAGCTGCAGCTGGTGAGGTCAGTTACCCCATCCCATCTTCGACTTATCACCCTTCTCCAGAGCTTCTCNTATAGCAGGCTTCCCAAACCACAAAATTTCTGAAACTTGTAGCCAAGCACATCTGGAAACCATTGTAAAGACAGTGCTATTTCCAATGTGATCTTAATTTTATGTATACTGTCTGTCCTATTTTTCAGTGATAAAACAATCCCAAAGCAGATTGTTCCTTCCTATGTTCAGAAGGCCCATAATACTTGTGTCCTACAGAGCTCCGTAGAAGAAAAAAAATAAGGAAATGGATGGGACAGTTTGGTTGATTGGCTTTTTGGTCAAGAAAATGCCAATAATCCTGGGCTGTCTGAGAATGAAATGTTGAAACACAGCAACATGCAAACCAGGCTCTAAATTATTATCTTTTTTGAGACCTCCTGTTGCAGAGCCTGACCAAAGTTCTAGTTAGTATCACAATCTGAGGAGGTTGCATCTCAAGTGTCAAGAAACTAGGCAGAAGCACAACAGGCTATGATGAGTTTCTGGGTACTGAAACAGGGAAAATCTCAGCTTCTCGTGGTTGAGTTTGCTGTATTATAGAAATGGCGAGGAGTTTATGGTTTCTATGAACCCAAGAGCATTCATTTTTATATAGGAATGTACAGGTCAGGTATATTCTTTTTCTGGATTGAGTTGATGCATTCATTATAATAGAAGTACAATTATAATTTAAACTTATCAAAGAACTCTGAGATGGCCAAACTGACTTCTTTGATCAGAGAAAACACAATATCTACATGTATTGCTACCTGGAAATCCCTATGGACGTTTTGCATAAAAGAAGAAAAATGAGTTTATGATTATGGTTTGGATTATTGATTAATCAATTATAGAAAGAAGAAGGTCACATTGTAACCATAGACTAAAAGGTGAATTTATAATTGTACTTATAACTGCTGTAAAGAAGCCACTTCCTTGCATGTTCTTTCTTTCTCTTTTTTTCCTTTCTTGCACTTTTAGGTTTTTTCTGATTTCTTTCTTTTTTTCTTATTTTATATTAATTGGTATTTGTTTTTAGTTTGTATTGGTCTTTAGCCTCCTTTTAAAAACTTTTAATAAAATTATGTATTAAAAAGGGGAGGGAGAACAGTGCACATTTAGAAGACAAATGGTTTTGTGAATTTACAGTAAGAATCTTGATGGGCTAAATCAGATTGGATTATCATTATTATTTCAGAGGAAGTTAAGTGTAAATGTCATTAAATAAATGATTGTGAAATATTTGAAAATGGCCAAATAAAACATGGTACCTGTTTTTAAGCATGAAGGAGACAAGAGAGATTGCTGAACAGATAAGTTAGCTCAATATGCTTCCTGATTTGTTATGCAGAAAGAAACCAGATTTTAGCTTTGACGGGGAAAAACAGAATGACCTGATCGGATTAAACATCTACGAGCACCCCAAATGCTGAAAAATAATTGATGAGGAAAGACACATTGAACGTGCTCAGATGCAAAATTTTAATTTACATGTATTACCTACCTTGCCAGTGAAAATAATTTCAGCTCTGAATACTGACTCAATTTAAGCCTTCATTAATCCCTATCCTTGGGGTGAAAGGGAATTATTAAATATGACATTGCAGTTATTTCTGAAGACTAAACCTCTGGTCCCGGTGAACCACCCAGCTTGGATCCTGCAACATTATCCTGGGACGTGTATATTTGCCTTCATTTGAGAGTTATTTCTTCCCACTCACCCAATTCACCAATTTGATGACACTGATTACCAACAGAAGGGAATATCTGTGGCTGAGAGTTGAATTGTGAGGTCATTGATGCTCTCTGAGCTTGGTGGTTTGCTTGTAGACATTTCATTACCCAACAAGGCAACATCATCAGTTAGAGTGAGTGTGGGGCTTGCTCCCTGTTTATATACAGTAGCTTGCCAACACCAGTTATAAACAGAGAGCAAACCCCACATTCACTCTGACTGATGATGTTGCCTTGTTGGGTAATGAAATGTCTACAAGCAAACAACCATGCTCAGAAAGTACTAAGGATGCCACTCATTACTAAACAATCTAAAATCAATCCAATAACTGCAGTGCTGTTCTTTCCATTCCAATGTAGTAGAAGTTGTTGTGTTCCTAACACAGGATGGCTTCCCCAGAGAGCATGTTTGCAGTCATCACTTGCCCACAATACACCTTCTGTCCCATTCTGCCCCCAGATGGTTGCCTCTCCTCTTCAACCCTGTGTGGATTTCCCAAGTTCCCTCAGTTACAAGGACAGTGTTGTTGCAGAAAATGAGACAAGACCAGCTCTTTGTCANGAAACCATTGTAAAGACAGTGCTATTTCCAATGTGATCTTGATTTTATTTATACTGTCTGTCCTATTTTTCAATGATAATACAATCCCAAAGCAGATGTTCAGAAGGCCCATAATACTTATGTCCTACAGAGCTCGGGGAAAGAAAATTAGGAAATAGACAGAACAGTTTGGTTGACTGGCTGGTTTTTGGTCAAGGAAATGCCAATATTCCTGGGCTGAGAATGAAATGTTGAACCACACAGAGACATGAAAACCAGGCTGCAAATTATGACCTTTTCTGAGACCTCCTGTTGCTGAGCCTAGCCATGTGCTCTTGAAAGATCTAATATCACAATCTGAGGAGGCTGCATCTCAAGTGTCAGGAAACTGGGCAGAAGCACAACCGGCTATGATGAGCTTCTGGGTGCTGAAATAAGGAAAATCTCAGCTTCTTGTGCTTGGGTTTGCTGTATTATACAAATGGCAGGGAGTTTGTGATTTCTATGAACCTGAGAGCATTCATTTTTAAACAGAAATGTACAGGTCAAGTATATGCTTTTTCTAGACCGAATCAATGTATTCATTATAGTAGAAGTACAATTATACAATAAGCTTATCAAAGAACTCTGAGATGGTCAAACTGACTTTTTTGATCAGAGAAAGCGCAATGTCTATATGTACTGCTACTTGGAAATCCCTATGGATTCTTGACTCTGAGCTTATGGTTATGGTTTTGATGATTAAAGTGAATCAATTATAGAAAGAAGAAAGTCTAATCATAGACTAAAAGATAAATGTGTAATTTTAATAAGTACAATTGTTTACCACTGTACTGTAATAAGTTTACAACTCTTGTGAAGAAGCCACTTCTTTGCATGTTTTTTCTTTTCTCTTTTTTTCCTTTCTTGCACTTTTAGGTTTTTTTTTTCCTGATTTATTTCTTTTTTTTCTTATTTTATGTTAATTGGAATTAGTTTTTAGTTTATGTTGGTTTTTAGCCTCCTTTTCAAAACTTTTTATAAAATTATGTATTTAAAAAGGGGAAAAACAGTACACATTGTTTTCTGAGATTTTGCTCAAATAAAACACGGTGCCTGCTTTTAATCATCAAGGAGCCAAAATAAAATGGTGAGCAGATAAATTAGCTCAATTTACTTCCTGATTTGTTACACAAAAGGAAGTCAGATTTTAGTTCTAAGAAAAAGAATGTCCTGATTGAATTAAACATCTATAAGTACTCCAAATGTTGAAAAAGAATTGGTGAGGAAAAATACATTGAAGATGCTCAGATGCAAAGTTTTCATTTACGTGTATTGCCTACTTTGCCAATGAAAATAATTTCACCTCTATATCCTGACTCAAATTAAGCCTTAGTTAATCTCTACCCTTGAAGTTAAAGAGAATTATTAAATATGGCATTACAGTTATTTCTGAAGACTAAACTCTGGCCCTGATGATCAACGAAGCTTGGACCCTGCAACATTATCCTATTATCCATGTATATTTGCCTTCATTTGAGAGTTATTTATTCCCACCCACCTAATTCACCAATTTGTTGACACTTATTACCAATAGAAGATAATATCTGTGACTCAGAGTTGAACTGTGAAGTCCTTGGTGCTGTGTGAACTTGGTGGTTTGCTGGTAGACATTTCCAATGAGGCAACATCATTAGTTAGAGAGAGTGTTGGGTTTGCTGTCTGTTTATATACAGTAGCTTGCCCACACCAGTTATAAACAGGGAGCAAACCCCACACTCACTCTGACTGATAATGTTGCCTTGTTGGGTAATGAAATGTCTATGGTACAAGCAAACTACCAAATTCAGAGAGCACTAAGAACTCCACTCATTACAATCTAAAATCAATCCAACACGGGGTGTTTCTAACACAGGATGGCATCCCCAGAGAGCATGTTTGCAGTCATCACTTGCCCATGAAACAGCTTCTTTCCCATTCTGCCCCCCCCCCCCAAATGGTTGCTTCTCCTCTTCATCCCTCTGTGGATTTCCCAAGTTTCCTCAATTACAAGGCCAGTGTCACTTACGAAAGAGATGCAGGCTGCAAGCAGGAGAATTCGCACAAGCAAGTCTTCAAATTGTTCCACCACCAGCTCCCATATAGTTTTGCCTGATAAGCAAGAAAGGGTGGGATGAAAGGCACAAAGGAGACAGAGACTGCAGAGATGGGGTGGGGGAAGTCAGCCTGCCTCCCCCGCAAAAAAAAAATCAAGAAAGCAATGGGCTGCAAGGAAAGAGAGAAGGGATAGCGGGCCTGCACACATCTATGATAGACTTTTTCAACAGGTTCCAGCTATTATGCTTGGTGGGGAAATTGTAGGTTCTTCTCTGCAAGTCTGGCTATGAGTTAACAGAAGCTCCATAGCAATTATTAACCTGGAGAAATGGCAATGTATACAAACCTTTTTTTTTTTACTCTTGCCTTTTCCCAATTGATCTGTTTCCTAAAGCAGAGGTCTTTGTTTCATCCAAAAAATGTGTGTGTGTTGGGGGGGGGGGGTTAGCAAGCAGCCTCCATTACTTGATCAATAACATTTCAAAGAACCAAGCTATCTTTTATCACAGCTATGCCTCTTATAAGCTTTGAATTAGTTCTAAGGCCCAAGAAAGAGAAAATGAGTGCTGGGGTGATGCTTGGCAGATCAGAACATGGATCTGAATAGAACAACATACAGCTTAGCAGAGGCAGAATTTGGCATCTGATTGGTCAAACAAAGAGCTCTGTGCCGATGCCTCATGATGGAACATGTTGAAAATGATTGGGACAAACCACATGGCAATTCACAGGTTAACCTGAGATTTTATTTCTAAATAGAAAGTTTGAGGTCCCATCTGGAGACCCAATAGCCACCGAATGAGTGTTATGGTCTGTAGGAGTCATATGGGCCATACTCATTCAAGGTCGAGGGTTTTTTTTTCCTTCCTAACACTTATGTATAATCTTTTTTAGGACTCACCTTCTTCAGCTGGGAGTTCTGGGGTTCGGAGACAACATGTTGAGAGAGGAAAAGAAAGGAAAAAAGAGAAAAGAAAAGCTGGTTAGGGTTATTGCTAGTATGACTTTTGCTGAGTGGTAAAGCAAAGGTGGCAACAGAGAAAGCGAAACTATTCTGGATTTACAAAGAAGCTGGTTCCGCCCATGAAGTTTAAGGTGAATTTTCAGTGTCATAAGCGGACAGTTAGAAAGAAAGAAGTTATATGATCATGCTTAGGTTTAGAGAGCAATTGTGAGTTGGATATGGACATCTCTGCAGAAATGAGTATGCTTTTCAATGACTTCATTAAAACTTTGTAAGCCACGGCCAAAGTGATTGCAAAATTGGTTTGAGCATAGGAAATCTTTGGAGGTAGGACTTTACAAGGAGACAGGAAGGAACAAGTCATTTAGAGCAGTTACAAACTTGTGCATGTCCCATAAAATAGCACATCACACATTTCCAACCCCCTCTGATAAAATTCTTGTTATAATCCCAGTCCACCGAGGAATCTAGAACTTTTGACCTTACCCCATGTATTTGAGGGACATTATAAAATTTGGAAATCGGACTATCCTCTCAATTATCTGCATATTTGGCAGCATGATATGTCCACTCCTCACAAAACAAGCTTCCCCAGATCCACCCACTCAGCAGCATCACAACCAACCAACGATTATATTTTGTTCCCCAAAGACATCTCTTCCCAAATCTTCTCAGCATCTAACTAGCTCACTTTGCTGGCCGTGTAATATCAGTGTTTCTCTTTTGTTTCAACCTCCCGGCTGCTCCTACAAGTTGCCATCAGCAATTTTGATATCTCGTTCATACCAAAGGGAATTTACTGAGTTATTCTTAGCAAAGCAGCAGCAGCTGCCCTGTCCCAGCATGACTATCTCCCCCCTCACCCCGCAACTTTGCAATAGTCAATTTTCCCTCTTGTGCTTTGCTTCTACCTTCATTCTTATTCCCCTTCCATGGCCAACTTTAGACTCTGCTAGACCATCTCTATAACCTCCTTCCTGCTTTCCAATAATTATGTAACCATTTTTCTTTGATAATAGTTGATTCCTTCTCTTTCACCTCTACTTATTGCTTCTGTCCTTCCTTACATTTTAGAATCCATGTCCATCACTGTGCATCTTTAGTTTGATTGCCTTTGCTTTCTTTTCTTCTCATATCTATGTTGCTCTGCACATCCTTTCAGCTTTCTGGCTCTCCATTTTCCCTGCCTTCTTGCATCCTGGCACCTGGTCAAGTGGGTACCAAAAGGGCTGTAATTTTAGAAAGCACTCACCATTGGGTCCATATTTTTCCAGATTCTTCTTCACCTGCTCAGGAGAGAGGCCTGTATGTTCACTTACTCCAAAGTAAGCCAGGCACTCTTCCATTGTTTTGGCATGGGCATTTTCCATTTTTGCTCTACCGCACCTGTCCACTTGTGTTTAAAGCTGCTTTCCACTTCTTCCGGCTTGGCCTGCTTCTGCTGTTCCCCTGCTGTGTGTTTAATGGAGTGTCACTCGTGCCCCCGTGGAGTTCCTCCTCTTTCTCAGCAGACCATGGTCCTTGGAGCACTGTATCCAACGATGGAGGGAAAGCCCGATGACCTGTCCTTGAACAGAAGCCTTCGCCAAACTCTGAGGCTGGCACACGTCCTTATGAGGCAGCCTGAGGACCAGATCTTTGGACATTCTCCATGGGCCCCCATTGGGTGACCAGTACTGACATCACTTCGTCCACCAACTCACATATGGCCTTCTGCGGAGAGAAAGTATTTTTGCTGACTTGAAGGGAGAAGCCAGGATTGTTGGCTTGGGATGGGGGGGGGGAGGAGGAGAGAGGAAGCCAAGTGTGCACAGACCCATGTGTCACTCAAATGCTTGCCTGTTCCTTTCAAGAGTTCTCGCCCTAGCTTCCCCCTCCTGCCTCCTACAGATTTAGAGTTTATTTCTGTCACTTGTCATTTGTAATGAAGATACACAGAGAAGTGGACTGCCCTCATTCCCATATATGAAGCTAAATCAATCTGTTTGCCCTGTCTCTCTCATTTGCATAGGCTTTAAATATTATTTAATAATCCTCACATGTGCATTTACATGTGTATCATAGGTATATAATTTTAGATTTTTTTTCTCCTTTTTTTCACTCCATTAAATTTTTCTTTGTTGGACCTATCATCCCTCTCTCTCAATTTGCAATCTCTTACAGCAACCAAACAGATGACCAAGAGAGATTCACAAGCTGAAGAGGTCCTGTCACTTGTCTTTGATATCTGCTACTAGCTCTAAGCATGATTTTTGCACTTCTAGCAATCATGGCTTATGGCCACAATTCCATGACCAATTGTTGCTTTTACAAGCCCTTTAAAGTACATTCTATTGCAATTTCTTGCAGCAACGGACTCTCTGGTGTTATTTTTTTATTATTCATTGTACAAAAAAACACCCACCTGAAATTATCACAGTGGCATAGGTATTCAGACCCCTTCACTTGGTACTTTGTTGAAGCACTTTTGGTAACAATTACAGTCTTGAGAGTTTTGGGGTATGACATGACAAGCTTTGCACACCTGGATTCGGGGATTTTCTGCCATTCTTCCTTGCAAATCCTCTCAAGCTCAGTGAGGTGGGATAGCAACTGTTGGTGGACAGCCATTTTCAGGTCCCTCCAGAGATGTTCAATAGAGGCTCTTGCTCTGGCTGGGCCACTCTAGGAAATTCAGAGCTGTTCCTAAGCCACTTCTGTGTCATCTTGGCTGTGTGCTTAGGATAGTTGTCATGTTGGAAAGTGAATCTTCAGCCCAGTCTGAGGTTCTGAGCTCTATGTTTTCACTGAGGATATCCCTGTACTTTGTTCTATTCAGCTTTCCCCCAACCTTGACCAGTCTCCCAGTCCCTGCTGCTGAAAAACACCCACACACATGATGCTGCCACCCACATGCTTCACTGTTGGGATCATACTGGACAGGTGATAAGCGGTGCCTGGTTTGCTCCAGATATAACATTTAGAATTGAGGCCAAATAGTACAATCTTGGTTTCATCAGACCAGAGAATCTTGTTCCTCACATTCTGAGAGTCCTTCAGGTGCTTTTTTGCAAAGTGGAAGTGGAATTTCATGTGTTTTGCACTTAGGAGAGGCTTCCATCTAGCCACTCTGCCATAAAGCACAGATTGGTGGAGGGTTGCAATGATGGTTGTTCTTCTGGAATTTTGCCCCATCTCCACACAGGATCTCTGGAACTCAGTCCGAGCAACCATCAGGTTCTTAGTCACTTTTCTTACTAAGACCCTTCTCCCCCAACCAGGTCTGACCAGCTCTTGGAAGACTCCTGGTTGTGACAAACTTCTTCCATTTGAGAATTATGGAGGCCACTTAGTGCACTTCAATGCAGGAACCTTCCTCAAATCAAAGGAGCTCTATAGGCAGTTCCTTTGACCTCATGGCTTTTGCTCTGCTACAGTATGCATTGTCAGCTGTGAAGCCCTGTATAGAGAGGAATGTGCCTTTCCAAATCATGTCCAACCAATTAAATTTACCACAGATCAACTCCAAACAAGGTGTAGAAACGTGTCAGCAATAATCAAGAGAAATGGGGGCCACCAGACCTAAATTTCAAGTATTGTTGCAAAGGGTTTGAATACTTATGCCTATGTGATATTTCAGGGTTTGTTTGTTTTTTAATAAATTTATAGACATTTCTAAACTTCTGTTTTCACTTTGTCATTATATGGTATTGGATGTAGATTAATGAGAAAATAAGTGAATTTCAACAACCATGAAATCAGGCTGCAGTATAACAAAATTGACAAACGTGAAGGTGGCTTGAATACTTTCTGAATGCCCTATGAATCTCTTTTGCTTCAAGGAAATATATTACTTAAAATTAATAGAAAATTGCATTCGTAACTGATTAGACATGATAAATTACAGCTTGATCAAAATAGACAGGTTTTATTTACTTCAGACTTTATTTGGGATCCAAACTTTTTCAATATTAGTATGAATATTTGTAAGGATATCAAAAGGTATCCATCCACTATATGGATATATACTCTGTTGAAATATTAAGCTATCATAATATTGAGGGCAGTAGTAAAGAGAGATCTTTTCGCATCCCTTTAATTCTGAAGCTTTTTACAGAGGTGTGAGATCATCTTCTTTTAAGTAATTTTATTAAGAATATTAAACAGATAAAATGTGCACACACACACACACACACACACGCACACAGACACACACACAAATTTCCATCAAAATACCACAAAACATGAGAAAAAAATATACCAGCAAGTATATTCAGCATTAACAACTTATCACTATTTCTTAAAATAAAAACCCAATTAGATCTTCATCCCATACCTCCTAGGTCCTTGCATATAATGAAATTGTCATCTTTAGTTGTGTTCATAAGAAATTGTCTGAACTGAGTGCAGATAATATGTGGATGGTTACACAATCTGAAGTGAAACATTAAACATGGTAAACAGATTAAATAAATGTAATGACTAAAATTAACGCATTGGGAGTTCTTTTGACTTTTCTTCCCACGAGGAAAGAAGGACAAGACTCAGTTTCTCTAGAAAGTATTTGGATACCATTGGACAACTGCCTTCCAAGAAACATGCAAATTCCACCATTATTTGAAATACAGGGGTTATGAGAAGATGTTTGAAGTGAAATGTCATAGGATTAGGGATAGAAGGACAACCATGTGTTCTACTTTACAAAGAGTGGTCCTCAATTTAACCTCTTTTATCTGAAATTTTCTACTTCAAATCTAAAAGCATTGGAGAAGGAAATTGCACTGACCTCCTCGTACTGAGACAACCCCATCCAAAGTATGATTCAGGCTGGAGGAATGGTGACAGATGACAGAACTTGCAGAGATGGCAACATTGATTTTTTTTTTTCTCTGAGTAAAGACAACTACATCTATTAATGACTGGAAAATCTTTATGGACTTTTGAATGAAAACAGGAAAAAAATAAACTTGTGATTTATGGATTTGACTATTAGAAAAAGAGAATATGAGAAAAAGTGAACCATGATATAACTGCAGAGGTGATAAAATATAAACGTCAAGATTCAAATAATGCTTTTGGTGTTACAATCAGCTTGCCAACAAACCAGAGGGAAGGGAAGGGGGAGGTGGAACTTAAGCTTCAGACATCAAGATAAGCATAAGAGCCAAGGACACTTCAGCAGGTATTTACCAAAGTCAAAGACTTTTCTCATAACAATACAATGAGACTCAATTGGACAATGTGACCTGCCCTAATGTGGGAGGGAGAATCCTATACTTGATTATGTGAGTTTGCGCAAGAATTAACTAGATCTGGTTTTGCCCTCATCAGTGCCAAAATGATGTACTCAATAAAGTTGTGCATTAAGAGATTGGATCGTCTCAATTGTGCCTGCTTTGGTTGGGTTTGTCAGTCAGAACATTGACAATAAATCTATAGTTGCTATAACAAAAGATAGGAGTGACTTCTTTATATATTTTTTCTTTTCTTTATTTACTTATCACCTTTTCTTTCCTTTTCTTTAAAAAAATATGAATTGCTTTTACTCTGTTAAATATGTTATCCAAGAAAATTAATTTTTAAAAAGTATAACTCAAGCTTTACAATGCTCAATTTATTCAATAGTATTTTTCTTCACACCTCCCAGTTGGTAGACATCTGGTTTTAATAGGGATGGAGGGGATGATTGTCACAAGTTTACTGACGGCAAGACATTTTGTCGCAGCTTTTGAAAGACTCTGTTTTAAGATAAGGAACCGGAAAAAGAAGAGAAAGCAAAGGACTTGAAGTGCCTATCAACAACTAATGCCTGAATAGGCAAGTGAGCCATTCCAGGAAGTCTTATTCTTCCCAGTAGGGTTAAACATGTCATTGTTGCCTTAAATCTAATAATTATTTATAAATTTGCCTATAAATGATCACATGCAAATTTGAGGCAGGCATATGTCCCAGTTTATCCCATGAAGGTGTATTATTCTTACCAGCAGCCAAGCCAAAATTGGGGTTAAATGGCTCAGAAATCTGAGCAAGTGGAAAGAGTCCATTTTTCCAAAGTGTCTTAACTTAGTCTTTAGGTAAAGGGAGATGGGAAAAGAGAACATCTCTTTTCCCTCCTTCTCCTTCTTTTATAATAATCACAACAACTTTCAGTTCTTTAGCCATTGTTGTTCTTCATTCATACTGACTTCATCCCCAAAATTTGGGATGTCGTAATTTATCAGTATAGTATATGTGCCAATCCAATCACTGTGGCTTTTTTGTAATTGACAGAGGGAAAATTTTGTCAATGCGCAGATTTTCTAAGTGTTACCCAAGACCTTTTGATATGGCACCCAATATGCTGATAATCATTAGGACTACCATTTCCATTTTTTTATTATTTAATGCAATA